GTTTTGGGAGAGAGTTGTTATTATATTTCTCTGCACTTGAAGTTTCTCCATCTTCATTTAAGTCGGGCTAGAAAACAAGTGGCCACAAGCTGTCTGCCCTGGCCATGCAGCGAGGCTCTGGAAGCTCATCCCCTCCACCCAAGTGCTTCATGAAGCTACAGACCCAAGAAAGGGCCAAAACCAGCACCCAGTCCCACCAGCAAGCTGAGCCTTCCCATTCCCTCGCAAAAAGCAGCCAGCAATGCATAACTGCCTGGGAAAAGCAGCAGCAAACTTACCCCACCACCACACCGATGGCTACCCGCGGAGTCAGCCGGCACAGATTTTCTCCTCCCGCTGCCTCGCCGGGATATAAGGTCTATTTTTGCCCCCCCCCCCCCCCGCACCTCGCCCCCCTGCCCAGAGTGACGCCAGCCTGCCGGCGTGTGCCAGAAAACCCCCAAACTTCAAGGCCGGCAGATTTGGTACACAAACATAGCACCCCGCGCCGCTGCCAAACCCGGGGAGGTTTGCTCCACGCCGCTTAATTGAGGGTCTGGCCTTAGAGGAATGGCCAGGAGGCCAGAGGGTATAATAACACTCTGGGTTTAAATTAAAATAAATATTGGGAAATCTGTTCTCAGGGGGTGTCTACCTCCCCTTTTGGGAAATTCTGTCACTGTTTTTTCAAGAAGACAAAAAAGACCAACCTCAAAGGCCTGGCTCCACGGTCACTTGGGTACAGCTATTAAACAAAAAAAGGCTAAATCCAAGCAAATCCCTCTCCAGGCTGCCTGCAGAGGTGAAACAGGCCTTGGGAAGGACAGGGGAAGAAAAGGGGACTCGGATACAGGTGTCAGCAGTGCCCCTTTGAGAACCATTTCTGCCACAATGATGCTACAAAGTGCACCTCTGCTTCGTTTCTCGTGCCCCCTGAACCACACAGACCCATGCAGGGGCCAGCCCAGCCCACCGCTCTCTAAAATCAGGTACCCCCCAGGTGAAATCTGACAGCTCTGTACACATCCCCAGCGAAGCAGAACAACTGTCTGGGGCAAAAAAAAAAAAAGACAAAAACCCACCCTGATGGCCACCCAAAGCTCAGCGGGGACCTTGGTGGCAGGATACGGCCAGTGGTGGGAGCCCACCCTCGCTGCCCTGCACCTGATGGTAGGGGATGGGGGCACATGGGTGCTGTGGCTGCACCTGGCACCTACACCTGCACGGACATCCTTTCTCCTTTCCCTGTATTTATTGTTTCCTGCTGGGATTTCAGCCACCCAGCTCTGCAGTGCACCTCTGCTCCCTCTATCCCAGATTTTTCTTGCACTCATCAGCAAAGGCCCCTTGCCGCTCCTGCACACGCCCAGGCTGCAGCAGCTCAGGAGAACTTGCAGAATGCAGCTTTGCTTTCCACAGTGGCAAGGAGAATTGCAAATCCCACCTGATGCCGTCACCCTGCAACCCTCAGAGAGGGATCAGTGAGGCTGGAAAATAGATGTCTTCAAGCAGGCTGATGATGTGCAGCTTAGCGAGTGATAAAACTATGGTTATTTAGGGCAGAAAAAGCCACTTTGCAGGGGCAGACCTGAACACTCATGTTTCTGCTCAAAACCAGGAGCTGCGCTTGCCGAAAGCCTCACCCACATCCAGGGGAGCCCGGTTTGAGTCCAAGTTTGATTATTGGGAAGCAAAAGATTTGTCCCTTGGCAGGTGTCCCTGTCCAAGGCAGGGGGGTTGGAGCTAGATGCTCTTTAAGGTCCCTTCCAACCCAAACCATTCTATGATTCTAGGATTTCCAGTTAGGCAAATTCCCAGGTTAGGATCAGAAAGACAAAGCACTTTTTTTTTCTGTTGTTATTTTGTCTTCTTGCTCATCACATCAGCAGGTACACGGTGGGCAGTTGCTAACCACTGACGAAACCCATGTGCATCACATGCTTTTGGGGAGGGAGAGGTCCCTTGCAGCCCCCCAGCCATGCAAACCCCGGGGCTGCAGGGCACAGCTGCGCCTGCCCCACGGGCTTCAAAGCCCACGGTGTCACTGTCGGGAGCCCTAATTACA